TACTGGATTTGTACTTGGATTAAGTAAAATATCACATTATATAGGCCATGATAATCATGACCTGTACTATATGTACATAAAATATGTAACAAAAACAACATATGGTACAAGTCATGATAATCATGACCTGTACTGTTTGTACATGGATTAAGTAAAAAAAAACACATGGTACAAGCCATGATAATCATGACCTGTACTATATGTATATAAAATATGTAACAAAAAACACATGGTACAAGTCATGATAATCATGACCTGTACTATTTTGTACATGGAATAAGTAAAAAAACACATAGTAATAGCCATGATAATCATGACCTGTACTGTTTGTACATGGATTAAGTAAAAAAAAACACATGTTACAAGCCATGATAATCATGACCTGTACTATATGTACATAAAATAAGTAACAAAAAACACATGGTACAAGTCATGATAATCATGACCTGTACTATTTTTTACATGGATTAAGTAAAAAAACACATGGTAATAGCCATGATAATCATGACCTGTACTGTTTGTACATGGATTAAGTAAAAAAAAAACACATGTTACAAGCCATGAAAATCATGACCTGTACTATATGTACATGGAATAAGTAAAAAAAAAAAACACGTGGTACAAGCCATGATAATAATGGAATAAGTGAAAAAACACATAGTAGAAGCCATGATAATCATGGTGTGAGTTAGTATATGTAACTGTATATTTAGAGAACGTTTTCTAATATAAAAATCACTAACATAATTATCATTTTTTTATAGGAGAAATAGATTATTCACATTTTATACAATAAACCCATTAAAAAATCAGCACAAACCCATATAAAAAGAAAAGATTTATGCAGGCTTCATTTCTAAAATGGAGTAATTTTAAGGTTGAACAGTGCCATTCTTAAGGCTTTAAACTGCTAATATATGCCATTTAATCCACGGTAGAAATTGCCTTAGTTCCCACACAGAATATCGTTCCAGTTTGATAACATGGTTATATATGGTGTCTTAGATTCTATTTATGGGTCATTTGAAACCCTAGAGTGACTTCCAAATTGAATTTTCTCCCAACTTGAGAATATTCTTTAAAGATTTCTTCTTATAGTTAATATATACTATGAAATCTCTTATAGAATTGAACTTTTCTTTTCACCATGTTTTAGAGCTTGATATGTTAAATTGTAGGAGTTGTTATCAAAATTGTATTTTTTCATTTTTAATTATTACTAGCGGACGTACCCGGCTTCGCCCGGGTTTTACCCGAGTAAAGGTTTGTCTAACGAATCTCTCGATAAAGTGAACATTTTTTCACGGTCCCTTGAAAAATACTCGATAAGTTGAATAAAATCAATATTAATTGGTTCCCTCGGTAATTGGAAGTTAAAAGATTAGTATCTTGCCTTGGAATTGTATCATTATTCTTGTATGGATGTACCCGGCTTCGCCCGGGTTTTACCCGAGTAAAGGTTTGTCTAACGAATCTCTCGATAATGTGAACATTTTTTCCCGGTCCCTTTAAAAATACTCGATAAGTTGAATAAAATCAATATTAATTGGTTCCCTCGGTAATTGGAAGTTAAAGGAATAGTATCTTGCCTTGGAATTGTATCATTATTCTTGTCTCAAATAAATTGCCGTGTCATCCTGAATTTTGTCTTTCCTAATTTTCTACATTACAAAATCATCGTATCATCATGATAATATTTAGAGCAGATTGTTGAATTATAACAGATAAATTAGAATATTTATCTTGAAAGACCTGTGTGTCTTAATAAAGGCTTTTGTGTGTGTGTGTGTTGTGAATATTTATCTTGATTATTTTTAGGCGAAAAGTTATTTCAAAAAATTTATTTGCTAGAAACCTTCCCAGTACTATACTAAATAACTTCCCAAAGTTTCATGGCGTTCCAATGAGTGGTTTGGTCAGGCATAAAGGACAGACACACATACATTCATTTATATATATATAGACTAGCGGACGTACCCGGCTTCGCCCGAGGTTTTACCCGAGTAAAGGTTTGTCTAACGAACATTTGTTAAAACAATTCTCTATAAACTTATTTAAAAAAAAAGAGATATATTTGATAATTTGAAACTCGTAAATGTGAATCTCTCGATAAAGTGAACATTTTTTCCCGGTCCCTGTGTGCCGTGTCATCCTGAATTTTGTCTTTCATAATTTTCCACATTACAAAATCATCGTTTTATCTAGCGAACATATTTTCCCGGTCCCTTGATAAATATTCGATAAGTTGAATAAAATCATGGTCGTGAATCTCTCGATAAAGTGATCATTTTTTCCCGGTCCCTGTGTGCCGTGTCATCCCGAATTTTGTATTTCCTCGATAAAGTGAACATTTTTTACCGTTCCCTGTGAGCCGTGTCATCCTGAATTTTGTCTTTCCTAATTCTATACATTACAAAATCATCGACACGGGATATCATTTAATGTTGTCTAAAGGGGGTTAAGAGAGCAGTCTCTTTCAAATGAAAAATGCTTTAATTAAGCAGATGTTTAAAGTATAATATATGAGAGAGGCAATCTTACAGGTTGTCGACGCTGTAAAATCCCCAGAGAGAGTGTTTTTGTAGCATCATGCTGTGACTCACACGATGACCCAAGGTCATCAGAAGCATCAAACTAAGCCTATCTCCGTCTCAATGGCGGCGCTGCTTGCGAGTTAAATATACAAATCTGCAAATAACTCTAAGGATATTCAAGATATTCAAGAAATTATTTTTCGTAAACCTTTCCGGGGATACACCTAATAATATCCCAAATTTTCACGGCGATTGGATGTATGGTTTTTGAATCCATAGAGGACACACACACACACAGACAGACAGACAGACATTCAATTTTATATATATAGATTAGAATATAAAAAGGTTTTGTTGGTATAGACGAGTAGTATTAACTGATATTTTTTTAGACAGTCACAATCCAGGATCGAATCCTGTATATAAGGTACTTTTTTTTTTCAGAAAAAATGTGTATCAATGACTTCCTATTCTTAAAATAGTATAACGTACCATTGGGTGTACGGGTGCACATTTGTAAGTGTAAACTACTTTCTACACATGTGTAGCGTACTTGCATTAAGAACAGTCAGTCGCTTGCTGCCAACAATGATTATCATGGCCTGTACCACATGTGCACACACTATCTATAATAAAAAAGGGGGTCGGTGGAAGGATGGTCTAAACCGTCTGTTTTCGACCGCTACGACCCGGGTTTGATTCCCTCATTGGGCGCTTTTTTTCTAAAAAAAAAAAAAAAAGCTCCAATAGCCCCCGATTCTTGCAAAAGCCCAACCCCTCCAGCGATTGCAAGTAACCAAACGGGGCTCTGGCACATTTTTAAGTGTAAAGTCGAACTGCTTTTCACATATGTAGACATATGGTGCACTTACAGTAAAAGCAGCCACCTATTTCTACCCACCATGATTATCATGGCCTGTACCACGTGTACTAGGGATAAGCAAAAAATAAATAAATAAAATTTAAAAAATAATAATAAAATTTCAATATATATGTGAAATTGTACTGGGATAAGTTGCATAATATATAAATTGCATAATATTTTTTTTAAAAAGCCTCTCCTTATCGTGGAACTTAAAGTTACTGATGACTTGCGCCATCTATCGGAATAAATATCAACTATTCGTTGATTTTTGGGTATTTGACCACAGGAATAATTAAAATTCAACGAATAGTTGATATTTATTCCGATAGATGGCTCAAGCCATCAGCAACTTTCAGTTGTACGATAAGTAGATGCCTTTTTCTTAATTTATTCACCTTATCCCAAGTACAATTTCATATTTGTACTATTTTTTTTTTTTTCATATGAATATATTATATTTATTATTCGATAAAATAATCCCTTGAATTAATATATTAAAATAAAAACATAAAACTTCCAGGGAAAAGTTTATTTTAAAATATTTTGCGTACTTGCCCGAAAGCTCGAGGTATTTTTTAAATAAAAAATATTTTAAAAGAAACTTTTCCCTGGAAGTTTTATGTTTTTATTTTAATATATTATATTTATATTAAAATATATTGTTATATCTCTAATATATAAAAGAAAAATGGTATAAGAGAAGGGAAGGAGTAAAGGAATAAAAATGCTAATTTGTGCGGTCAATTAATGCTTTTATTTATATAAACTCAACGCTATTTAACGAGGGGTTTTAGCTCAGATGGTAGAGCGCTCGTTTAGCATGCGAGAGGTACTGGGTTCGATACACAGGATCTCCATCTTTTTTGGACAAGACACCACCACAGCATTTAACTCTTTAAATCTCTCTCTGAGGTTAATTTGATGACTCCAAGATAGCCAGGGGTATCTCTGAATGTACAAGAAGGATCAGTCTTATATGTAAACTAGCCGAATGACCCGGGCAACGCCCGTGTTTTACCCGACTGTAGATGTTACAACGGTGATCCTTAGGTCGCTGGTTCAAATCCGGCTCGAGGGAGCCGGCGAGCACGTGACCTCCCTGTGCGCGCGCATCCGTGACAGAGGCCGATGAGCAAAGACGGTCGTGACTATATATATAAATATTTTATGTAAATATGGTAACAGCTGATAGATGGCCACAGATATCATCATTAACCTAGCGCCATATATCGATGAAAATTTGAAACAATTTTAATGCTACTTCTCTTCTAAATATATTTATAATAGAAAATTATTCCTGAAATGAATAAAAATTGAAAAAGGGAGGGTATGGCTCATCAGTGGTGAACCCTCCCAGCGGTTTCGCCATTTTTAATCTCCAGACCGCTTCACTATTATATTAGACTGATTGTATTATGATGCATTTTATATATATTATATATTTATATAATTATATGTGGGGGTCTGTGGAAGGCTGTTTAAACCGTTTGGTTTTCGACCACTAGGACCCGGGTTCGATTCCCGCATTGGACACTTTTTCTGTTTAAAAAAAAAATGCTCCAATGGCCCCCGATTCTTGCAAAATTCCAATCCCACCAGCGAGTGCAAGTAACCAAACGGGGCTCTGGCACATTTGTAAGTGCAAAGTCGAACTGCTTTTCACATGTGTAGACATGTGGTGCGCTTACAGTAAAAGCAGTCGCTAACTACCCTCCTTGATTATCATGGCCTGTACTACGTGTACTAGGGATAAGCAAAATAATAATACTTATTATTATATGTAATTCTACTGTCCTCAAAGCTTATGTCCATAGTTCATCTAAAATACTCATTCCAAGAGTCTAGCATCAGTATCACTATAAAAGGAAGTTCCAAAAATGCAATATAACAGCGGTATGGTAGATTAAACTGGCGAAACCGCTGGGAGGGTTCACCACTGATGAGCCAGGCCCTCCCATTAATTTTTCCATTGCAGTAAGGACAGTAGAAATTGTTTTATTTTTAAAAGAATCATACGCTTCTATAATAATTTCGTATTTTGACATTAGACTGAGTTTCTAACATACTCTGCACACTTGCTATTGAATACAGTAAATTGGTGTTTTGTACAAACTATGGACATATGCTTCTAGGACACTGTAGAAATACGTACATATATAAATTAAAGATATAATGGCGAAACCGCTGGAAGGGTTCTTCACTGATGAGCAATCCCCCCCCCTCTTTAAATTTTTATTCATTACATGATAAGAGACTGTCACCTGAAATGCACTTTCTGTGAATCAGGAATAACAATGGAGATGTTGCACTACTTATTTGATTGTGCTGCTCTGTCTGAGGAAAGACGAAAACTAAATGATAAAACGGGGCAACTTTGTCCTCCATTTCCGGCACTAATTAATGAAATATCAAAGAATTCAATATACAGTTACGAGCGTCATTCCTCATCTCCTAATCAACTCTGTCACCGTTTGCTTTTTTTTTTTTTTGGAATGGCGCCCTCCTATTGGTTGGCTACGAACACGCCACCTTTGCCCCCCCCCCCTCCCATCATGCCCCCCCACTCGCTTTTTCGTTTTTGTAACTATTGTGTTGGAGCGGGGCGCTCCTTAAATAAATGCATATATTAGTTAATAACTAAATGGAATCCTCTCTTCCTTTTTCCCAGTAAGAGACGCCTACGGAAGCCAACAGTACATAGACAGATAAAGCACATAGGCTATAGTTATTAACTAATATATGCATTTATTTAAGTCGCCAATTTATAATTGTAACAAATAGTATTTGAATAAAAACATTCAATCGGATAAAACACGGGCGTTGCCCGGGTCATTCGGCTAGTAGGTATATAGCGGTGGCGATATTTGGGTTCCACAGCATTATATCCCGGAAAAAGGCCACACAGTGTTCTCCCCATCCCTTGTGAACTGGCGAATCATGTATAGGGCGAGAGGCCCTAAATAAAGGCTTTGTTGTTGTTGATGATAAGAGACTGTATACATACATTTTAATTATATAAATTTTAGAATAGAAAGAAAATTTCTCTGTCAATACAACAACACAACAACAACAATAGCCTTTATTGGGCACACGTGCCATACAGGATTCTCCCTGTAGGACAAAATACATAAATAACAAATTAGCATCGTAGTTATATACAAATATTGGGTATTGACCTCGACCAATTATCGAGTTGGATCCGGTGTCTGTGCTAAACATTTTGATTGAGCTGATTTCCAGTATTTATAAAAAGCGAATACAAAGGGTCTGGATTTTACGACTTTTGCCATTAAAACATAAGGCGAATTGCTATTATAGCCGGTCTCTTGACGAATAATTTCTCTTTCTTCTTCCATTGCCGTACAGTAGAACATGTAGTGTGGAAAATCAAGACTAAATTCATCACTCTGTCAATACAACTAATTATTGTTTTTTAAGAAAAGTAACTACTTGTTCTAGTGTTTGCTTGTTATATAAGTTTATACCAAGTTCTTTCTTTCTTCTTTCTCCTTATTTGATACATTGTAAATAACATTATTGTTACTATTACGGATATTTCTCTGTATAGTTTAATCACTTTTATAATCATAAAAGATCATGACGCGTAAACTTTCTCTAGTTAATTCCATTGTGTCTGATTCAATGTTTAGAAATTACCTCTATGGCTGTAATCAAAGTCACGCCCTCTATGAATCATTGTTATTACTATTTTATGAAAATGTTTATATTAGGTAAAAAATACATCTAGATTTTAATGGTATATATATTTTTAATATGGGGGTCGGTGGAAGGCTGGTTAAACCGTTTGTTTTTCGACCACTACGACCCGGGTTCGATTCCTGTATTGGACACTTTTTTTTGTTAAAAAAAATGCTCCAATGGCCCACGATTCTTTCAAAAGTCCAATCCCACCAGCGAGTTCAAGTAACCAAACGGGGCTCTGGCACATTTGTAAGTGCAAAGTCGAACTGCTTTTCACATGTGTAGACATTTGGTGCTGCTTACAGTAAAAAGCAGTCGCTAACTACCCACCATGATTATCATGGCCTGTACCACGTGTACTAGGGATAAGCAAAAAAAAAATAATATTTAAAATATTTAATATTGATTACAAAAACTTTTGGAGTGACACGACTTATATTCAAAAGAATCATAAACGGGTCTAAAGTAGTTACAATTATTTATAACAGATGGCGTTCTAATTTATCCTATTTATATAAATCTTGATATGAAAATAAAATCTATCAAGAAGTCAGAAAAACAAATATTTTTTATTTATTTATCTTAACTTATTTGTTAGTAATTGTAACGACTTTTGTTTCCCCAGAAAGGAAACTTTCTAAACTTTAATTTTACTAATGGGCCTCTTCTTCGTTGGCCAAATGTTTTCCCTTTTTCTCTTAGAAAACTTTTTTTTTCCCTCCTTCGAGGAATTTATTCCAGAGAACACACACTAGCTTATTAATCTTTAGGATTGCACTAAGGCATTTAGCTTAGAAACTCTTCTATTCCTGTAACTTAGGAATTATTCAAAACGAAGAAAGTGCGGCCAGAAAGAAAGTTAGAATATGCTATAGAATAATATAGCAAAGAATTTATTTTTTTTAATCAAAAGATTATCAATTTTTAATATTGTGTTTCTCGATATATATTGTAGTGCAAAGTATTTATTATTTTATAAACAAGGTAATAAGACAAAATCCAAATAAATAAATAGTGTATGTCGTTTCGGTAACAGCGTTGTTACCATCTTCAGACAAAAGTACTGAAAAGTACGGAATGTACACTATTTATTTATTAGGATTTGGTCTTATTACCTTGTTTTATAATCTATAATCCAAATTGTGCCTTATCTATTTATTATTTTATAAACAGATTATTAATTTTGTTTTGTATTATTATTATTTTATTTTTTTTTTACATTGTTTCGGCGTTTCGGCATGCAATTCTAGGCCTTAACCACCCGTTTTATGATTTTTCAGGGTGCCTGAATGACCAGTTTTTTTATTAATCGTTGAGGTACAGCTTTACTCGGAACAGCAAAGATTCCTATGTCCTCGTAGCTACAAGGTATGTCCCATAAGCTTCCGGACTGGGTCCATAAAAAAAGGTAAGATATATATTTTTTTAATTATTAACACTTTTTAAAGTAATTCCCCCTTGCTTCAACGCACCAGCGCCATCGTTTCTCCCAATTGTCGAAACAGTTTTAATAGGCCTATTTTGGAATGCTATTCAATGCCAACAGCGATTTTTCTATTATGTCATCCCTGGTGTCAAAATGTCTTCCTTTTAGAACTGCTTTAAGTTTGGGGAACAGGAAAAAGTCATTTGGTGCGATGTCTGGGGAATAGGGTGGTTGAGGTAGGATTTCTGTCCCGTTTTTCGCCAAAAACCTCGTCACCAAGTGCGCTGTGTGAGGGCGGAGATTGTCATGGTGTAGGATCCAGTCACCATTAGTCCGTTTTTCTGGCCTTTTTTTTTTCGAATCGCTTCCCTTAGACGACGAAGAATGCCCAAATACATTTCCTTAATAACTGTTTGGCCTGCAGGAAGATACTCGTGATGAACAATGCCCTTGTTATCCAAAAAAGCGACCAGCAACACCTTGTTTCTGAATTTCAATATCCTGGATTTTTTGGGTCTAGGCTCACCCTGATCTCTCCACTCGGCATATTGACGCTTGGTTTCAGGGTCATAGCCATAGAGCATGTCTCGTCGCCTGTGATTATCTTGTCTTTCCATTCCGGATCCGTTCTTGTCATTTCCAACATGTCCTAACAGGTTGCAAGCCGACACAGTTTTTGCTCATTAGTGAGGAATCTTGGGATGAATTTTGCAGGAGTCTTTTTGAGCT